CTTCAATTTCAATTTTATTGTGTTTTTTGAACAGAATTCCTTTTCCTAGGCAAGTCTTCAAATACCTAAGAATCCTTTCCGCTGCTCTCATATGACGAATCTTTGGAGAGTGCATGAACTGGTTGATCCATTCTTTCATATATGTCAACGGAAGTACATCCTTGATCTTCTAGAGGAGACCAGGAGACCAGCAGATACTCCAATAGAACAGATTCATTGTCTACAGGAATCAGTGGGAGATGACTACCTTGATAAAGAGAGATACCAAAAACTGGTAGGGAAATTGATATATTTGTCTCTCACTCGACTAGATATTGCTTATGCTGTACATGTTGTCAACCAGTTCATGCACTCTCCAAAGATTCGTCATATGAGAGCAGCGGAAAGGATTCTTAGGTATTTGAAGACTTGCCCAGGAAAAGGAATTCTGTTCAAAAAACACAATAAAATTGAAATTGAAGCGTATACTGATGCAAATTAGGTTGGTTCTATTGGAGACAGGAAGTCTACTTCTGGGTATTGCACGTTCGTTGGAGGGAATTTGGTTACATGGCGAAGTAAAAAGCAGAATGTAGTTGCTAGATCAAGTGCAGAGGTTGAATATCGAGCTATGGCTCATGGTGTTGCTAAACTATTGTAGCTTAGGACCCTTCTTGGTGAGCTCGGGATAAGGGTCGAATGTCCTCTCAGACTGTACTGTGACAACAAGGCTGCCATCAACATTGCAAATAACCCAGTGCAACATGATAGGACGAAGCATATTGAGATTGACCGACACTTCATTAGAGAAAGGATAGTCTCAGGGAACTCTGCATTCCTTATACTCCTTCCGAGATGCAGATTGCAGATGTGCTAACAAAAGGACTAGCTTCAATGAAATTCTTAGACTTACTTGGCAAGATAAACATGACTGACATCCATGCTTAGCTTGAGGGGGAGTGTTGGTTCAATTGGTTTAGTGTTTATGTTAGTCTATTTATGTTTTAAGTTCTTAGTTATTGGGCCTAAACTTGTTTTATTCTTTTTATGTCTAGGTGTTCCATCACAAATCAGAGGCATTCATCCATTCTTGTAACATTACTTTGTAAACATCTATATAAGATTATAGGGCCAGCTGTTGTTCTCCAGCAAACACTTCCCTCCACAGTTCGGCTTCCATGGAGGAAGCCAACCAGACCACCATTAAAGCTCCTACCTTCACATTCACTTTCCTGGGAATATCCTTGGGCTTGACTCCGTTCAACAATACAACTGCAGACCTAAGGTCTCCCCAGAATACCCCCTCCAGTTTCGCTCCACACAACACTGCTATCGCTTCTGCAACCTCATCCTTCCAAAGATGGAAAGGTAAACCCACGATACACACTACCACCCCATTTAAAATCGAGGAATCCTTTGAGTGTGAAGAAGGAGACCACCTGAAGATATTAATCGAGCCATAATCATCCTGTAGACATACAACCTCTACTCCTACTTCATTTTCAAGTGGATCCAGCAAGGCTTTTGCACTTATCAAAGGGTGTTAAGATATATTTTGTTCTTAATTTCAAATGTTTTCTCAAAGAACCAGCAATTTTCCTTCCACCCTCTAGTTGGATTATCGATTTCAACAATCAATTTGCTTGTCTAATCTTCTCTTGTAGTTAATACTAACAGAGCTGCCTTAGTTCCAGTTAGCACCAAGGTAGAGTCACGTTGCCTAGGGGATTCAAGATTGACTATTGTTCTTGAAATCCCCTCTTCTTCCTTATTCTTTTATGTACCTCGTTTGTTTTCTACTTTCTCTCTGCATTAAATTTCCTTCAGAGCCTTTGCTATCTCAATCCACCCCTGACTCTTTCCATCAGAAAAATAGACTAGTTGTTTCCTATTCTTGTCAAAAAATTCTGCAAGAGATAAGAACGACCCTTTATGATTTCTTCTGCGTTCCACCACATATCTTCTTCCCGCCTTCGTGGTGAGCTCTTTCCAACTTTTCTCCTTCCCTCTTGCACTTGCTTTTACTACAAAGTCAGTGAACCATTCTACCACATCCAACCCAACCAGYAGTACTAAAGCCTTCTTAGCTTCCCTGATTTTCATGCTAATCTRTCCTCTGAAAAAAAATTTTTGAAATTTCGCCTAACCATCTAGCATGGTTCGAACATCCATATGATGGATCTCACCTTCCTTCAAAGAGAGCATTGACGATTCGGAGGTGAATGATGTGATCCCAAAAGTCTCTTGAACAGAAGGGGCAGGTAGAAGACTTAGATTGGTCTAAACCAAAAAAGAGGGTCTTTGAACCAACCCATGTTGGTTTAAAGAAAGCACTTATGCCATAACGAATGTTATGGGGAAGTAGGGATTAAATAGGAGAAATTGCTAGATTGATATGTATCAACAGAAACAAGATAAGGTTTCAACAAGGAAAGATGAGGTCAATTTTCTTCTTCTTGTCTTTACCTAATGAATTCTTTCATTTTTCTTTCATTCACTTCTACATTGATTCATTGCTCAATTCCCCTATCTTTCATTTCTACCTAATGAATTCTTTCATTTCTACCTAATGAATTCTTTCATTCATTTCTACCTAATGAATTCTTTCATTCATTTCTACATTGATTCATTGCTCAAAGCAATAAAAGAGAAAGTATGAACGCAAGCGAGGTCTTGTTGAATGGGCTTCGATTACATTCCCGGTGGTTCTTGTGTTCATTTGTTTTTATTCAGATTTAATAAGTTATGGGGTTTAACTGGGTGAATTTAGAGGTGCAAGGCAATCGACAAATGGTGGTGTGTACTCTAATTCAAATTCTGAGAAAGTAGTTGGATACCGAAGTGGCTGCTGCCTACATACCCTCTGGCAGATCAGGCCATTGTAATTCACCAGAGTTGTTATTCCGGCATTGATGGAGAAAGATGGTAGGCAATTGTATAAGGGATGGAAAGGTGGTTGAGACAAAGGGAAGAGATAGCATTGATGGTTTGGAGGTGAATGATGAACTCCCAAAATTCCCTTGAACGGGATGGTTAAGTGAAAGACTTAGACCGGTTTGTACCAAAAAGGAGGGGCTTTGAACCAAGGCATGTTGCTTTAAGTGATCACGTACCAACATAGCAGTAAAGTTGGCTGGTAGATCACTCACAGCCCAATACCTCTTCTATAAGGAGAGTTGAAGTTAGAAAGGCTCAGGGCCCTTGTATTGATGCTAATAAAGAAGAGACATGAGTGTATTGAGGAGTCCCAAAGTTGTAGCTATCTATCAAGCACAACTTTACATGGCAACAAGTGAAAGCAGCATACTCGGAACAAAGCATTATGCTAGAATTTATTAGTTACAAGCATAATCGTCAACCTGTAAGTAAGGAGAAAGAAGCTTATCAACTTACTATTATGCCCTCACTTCAGTTTGGAAAGAGTTGGACCACTACGAAAACACTGAATGGGACAATGAGAAAGACGCCAAAGCCTACAAGCAGTTGATCTCCAAACAACAAGTATTTGCTTTCATACAAGCCGTTAACACATGTATGAGCCCTTTGGGTATAGATTTAGGGTAGCAAGTATCTCCCATATGTCCAAGAGGTGTATGCATTGATTTCGTTTGCAGAGAGTAGGAGATCTGCTATGAATCCTTCTGAGGGCAAGACCATGGCTTTAGCTGTGAAGGGGTAACACCAGTTCAGCAAAAAAGAGGAAAATCAAAAAAAAGGTAGATGATCAAGTTGTGGTATACTATCAAAAATCCAGGTACACCTGTTAGACATGTTGTGAATTACACTGGAAACCAAAGTGGGCACAAGAACTAAGGAAGAAATCAACTCAATAACAGAGCAAGAATCCAATCCAGAAGAATTTTACCTCGGCTAAGCTTGCATCTCATGAGATTCAGATTGGTTTCTCTACTATGTGTTCTTCTCGGAATTGCCCCCTCTGTTCTGATCTCTCCCTTCCATTGGTGGTTAAGGATCTATATCTTTGCCCTTTGGTGTTTCATTATCAAATGTTTTAAATGTTCCAAAATTGCCTATTAACTTGTTGTCCATTAGCAGTATTACACATGCCTTAGTAAGTAACATTTCCTCCCCAATCCTTTTTTTCAGTATTTGGCCTCTGGGAAGACAATTAGTAGAGGATGACATGGTCCATAAGTCTTTTAAGTTTTTGTCAGTCAATGATTTTGTGTCAAGCAACAGGTTTGTTTTTATGGTTTGATAATGAGTAGAGGTCTGGGAATTTGAAGAGGCACTTCCCCAACCCAAAGGTCTTCCCAGAACAAGACTTTGTTACCACAACCGACATCAAACCTGATAAATTGAAGAAAAGTTGGATATACCTCAAAGATCGCCTTCCAAGGAGAAGATGGAACTGCATTGGGGGCTAGTTTTGCATCCCAGTCGTTATCTGCTTCACCATGTAAGCTTTTAATTACCCTGTGCCATAATCTTTCTTCTTCACAAGGGAATCTTCACAGCCATTTCCCAAGAAGGGCCTTGTTTTTCTTTAACAGATTCCCTATACCTAATCCACCCTACTCCTTAGGGTAACAGACTTGCTCCCACTTCACTAAATGATCTTTCTTTTCATCACCTGGTTCCCACAAAAACTCCCTCATAATCTTCTACAACTTCCTAGCTATTTTCACCGGGATCTTGAAGGTGGAAAGGAAATAAGTGGGTAGGTTTGCTAGGGTTGATTTTATCAACGTGATTCTTCCCCCCAGGGATATATAATTTCTCTTCCACATTGCCAACTTCTTTATGAACCTCTCTACCACTAGTTTCTAGAAACTTTCAGCTTTTGGATTCCCACCCAAGGGATTCTAGAGGCCAATTTTTCACTTCACAACCTAGCAGATTTGCCATGGCTTGGATGTCCCCCCCTTCAATGTGATTCCAGCTACACAACTTTGTCTCCAATTGACTTTCAGTTTGGAGGCCTGCTGAAATTCCTCACCAATCTTTTCAGATTCCTTAAACTAGATTCATCACAACTTTCACAGAAAATGATTATGTCATTAGAAAATTGCAAATGAGACACCACCACCACTTCTGATCTACCCATCCTCCAACCTTTAAACTGATTTTCTTGATCAGCCTTGATGATTTGTCTACTCAAAACCTCTGCCACAAAGGTGAATAAGAATGGAGATAAGGGATCACCTTGTCTTAGTCCTCTTTTGGCCTAGAAGAAATCCTTTGCTACCCCATTCATCAGAATAGAAAAGTGTGCTGAGCTAATACATTCTTTAATCCACATCCTCCATATTTTCCATTAAGTTCAATAGGATGGACCAATTCACCATATCATAAGCTTTTTCTAGGTCCAATTTACAAATCAAAGCTTTGCCACCTTGTTTTCTCTTAGCTGCCACACACTCATTTGCCACTAGGATTTGATCCACAATTTGTCTCCCTTCTACAAAAGCTCCTTGGTTCTGAGAGATAAAATAGGGCAATACAGTCTTCAACCTACCAGCCAGGATTTTAGAAATGATTTTATACAAGCTACCCACTAGACTTATCGGTCTGTAATCCTTAGGGGTTTTGGCCTCCTTTTTTGGCACTAAAAGGTTGCATTTGCTCCAGGCAATAATTTCCCTTCTTGATAGAACTCTACAAATACATCCATTAATTCATCTTTCCAAATTTCCAACAATCCTGATAGAAATTATTTGAAAATCCATCCGGCCCCGGAGCTTTAAACCTATCCATCGAGAATATTGCTTCATGTATCTCTTCAACAGTGAAGGCTCTTTTCTAGGAGGACAACTTCGGACTTTGGCACTCTGTCCCACTATAAGTCTCCCAATTCTGCAATGTTTTCATCAGAGGATGCTAGGATTGACTTAAAATGATCCACAAAGCATCTTTCAATTTCCTCTTTTGCAATTTACTACTCTTCCCTCCACCTCTATACTGGAAATTTGATTTTTCCGTCTCCT